CGGCCCCGCCCGGCCCCGGCGCCGCACGGGTTGGGGTGTCATCTGAGACGCCACTAACCACGTTTCATAAAGAAGGCCTCCATAAATTTAGTCTCGGCCGGGAATAGCACCGCCGCGCCACCGTCGTATACACGGGGCGACGCCAAAACACGGTATGGTGCACCACTTGAACGGCAGCCCCCCTTGCGTTACGACTCGCCTGATCGATTTTGATTTGATGTTTTTTTTCGGGGTCGGTATCGATGTCGGCTTGCAAGAGCCGAAGTAAAAACGGGGTGGTCGTGGCCGAGCAGCATCGCGTCCCCTACGCCTCCCCGCGGCGCCCCGCCGCTCTGCCGCTCCGCCCTTACCCCTCGGGCGATAAAAGTTAAAGGACCGAAATAAACGGGCAATTCACGGCCGGGTCATTAATCTGCCCTTAACACTCCCCTGCGCGGCGCTCTGCCCGGCTCTCTGCCCCTCGCTCGGTTGCGTGTCCGCCCGCCGGCACCGCCTCACTTGCCCTAAAATTGGGTCAATAATTTCGTTTTGCACGTAATTAATGAGAAGGCGACCCGTTTACCGGCGCGCGTCGTCTCCCTCGTCCTCCATTTTTTTATTTTTGCAATTTTCCCTCCCCTAGCTCGCGCACCTCTCTAAGCGCTGCTTTAACGGGAAAGAATGCGTTCCCAATCATGCTGAGATAATGGAGCGAATTAACGGCCGACGCCGCTGACCCTGCGGTGCGCGACGGGCGACCAGCGACCACCACCCCAGCGACGCCCCCTCGACTGTTTTCCTGTCAGTAAACAGGTCGGGGTTGAGGGCGTCCCGTCCCGCTCGGCCCCTGAGAGAGGGAGCCAGAGGCCATGTTTTATTCAGCGGAGATCCCGCGGCGCACCGCCGGCGCTGTGCATACAGACAGAGCCGCCCGACCCGCTTCTACATTCATCCCCCGATTTTCATCGGGGGATGATTCCCTCCTGATGAAGCCGCCAGACGCCTTCGCCGTGTCGCGAGCTCTTCCTAAGCGACATACTGTGTATAGCGCTGTCGTTGCACCTTCCGACCGACGCAGTTGTGCGGCGCGTGCCTCTCCGCGATGTTCATATCATTAGTAGGGATGCATGTGTACGCGCGCAAGCTCAGAGGCCTCCCCTCGGCCTCCCCTCCCCTTCGCTCGCACCCCAGCTCCCGAGGGCATATGCCTGTCGCGCCCACCCTCGCCCTCCTCCCTCCCAACCCCTCCGGTCCCCACCCCCAGTCACCCGCTTGCTCTAATCAGACTAATCTCGAAACAGCGCAGGCCTCGCCGCGCGCCGCTCTATGCAAAGGACCATCGAGTTGCTTCTAATCATTATAGCGACGGGCGACACATTTTTCTCCGAGAGTTTGGAGGTCCACCTCCACCCATTATTCTGCCCCGAGGTCATCCCCGTTGTGTCGTTGCCTCCACCCGAGTCGAGAACAAAGGAACTTTTGTGTCGGAAGGGAGAAGCAAGAAACGGGATGGCTGTGTTGCGGTGCTTCCCTTGTCTCTCCTCCACAATGACTGAGCGAGCGGCCTGCTGCGTTCCTTTTAAACACCCCCGGCGGACCCGCCCCTGCGCTTTCAAGGAAATGGCCGTCAGTCACTTTCCATCTCTGCCTCGGCCAGACCACCAGCCGGCAAGTCACTTTTGTATTGCTGCTTGGCTGACTGGGGAAGGTCGCCCCAGGACCGTTGTCTCCTCGAACGCATGTGTGTGTGTGTGTCTTTTGAGTTCTCGAAAGCGCGCCCCCGCTGCTTCCGGCTTTTATTGAACACGCGATATCATGCACTGCACTGACGGGAAGTTGTAAGCTCGAGCGGCTGGTTTCACTTAACCCCTTGGCAGGAACACGTGGCTGTCCCTGTCGGCGCGCATGTTAGATGTCTGGTGGTGCGAGGGTGTGAGGTGCAAGGTGCCAGGTAGCGGCACCCCTCCGGGCCCTGCGCACCGGCGCGGCCCTACGATACTCGTTCCCCTCCCTGCCTCTGTTCCCGGCGGTCGCTTCCTGTGAGATAACATCGCCTTGCGGGAATATCATTAGACTGAGCACGTCAGACGACATACCTGGCTGGGGCGACCACTCGTAGTACACTGCAAGGTGGTTTGTGCCATCCGAATTATCGTTACGCGTGAATGTGTGTCTGTGCATGTGTGTATGCGAGAGTGAGTGAGTGTGTCGCTCCACCTCGTGATGCAGTAGAGTATAAGAGTGATGTTCATATGCGTGCGCTATGGAATCGATGGGCGATTGGGGTCCACCACCAGACCGACAGCGCATTTCCAGGCGCGCGACGCTTCCCTTGACACTCGTAATCCTTTGCCGACTGATGCACATCAATTGTCGCCATCTTGTCACAATGGCCTCTCCCTCAGCATCACAGCCGCCATATCGAATGGGACAAGGGAAGAAAAGAAGGGGAGGGAGCGCTCTATTCACGCGCGGGCCGGGCGCAGGCGGGCGGGGCGCGCAGGGGTGAGGTGGGTCTGAGATGGCAAGCCTCCCCCCCCCACCCTCCTTCCTCCGCGTCCCCTCACCCTTCTCTGCTCCATTAGTCAGCCGCGAGCGGGGCGAGGGTCAGCAGAGAGACGTGTTCTGTAGAAGTAGGGATGTTTCTGACGCATTGCAGTTATTGACGTGTTTGCTCTTCTCTTTGTTACAGATCGCCCAAAATGACGCCGAAGAAAGCCGAGCTAAAGGATCTCACCCCACTCATCACGTGCCACATTTGCAAAGGATACTTTGTAGATGCGACCACCGTCACGGAGTGTCTTCACACATGTACGTACTTTTAAAATAGTAATAGAGAGAAACGGTAGACGCCTTTAGTTGTTTCGGAGGACTAACATAAGTTCTATATTTTACAGTTTGCCGGTCGTGCATTGTGAAGCACTTCAAAAGGAGTCTATTTTGTCCAGAATGTGACGTGCAGGTGGAAAAGGGCTGTCCTTTAAATAAATTGAGGTGTGTGGCAGTGTAGTTTTAAATTTTACGTTGCAGTGGAAAATCTTCTCAACCTAATGTTTCTAATCCCTTTTAATTTTAATTCTAGGCCTGATCCTCGAAAACAACTATTAGTTTACAAAATGGTACCTCGTATGCACGCCAATGAAATGGAGAGACAGCAGCAATTCTTAAAAAAGTATGCAGTGGCAAATCCAATGAGCCAGAATGGGGGCAAATCTACCGGCCAGAGACCGCTGTTGCCTGAAAATCTCTCAGATGTAGAGACAGTCCGTGACAGAATAGTGGATAAAATTCACTTGTACTCACCAGAGGAAAAACTTAGCCTGTCTGTGGAGTATGAAAGGTTAGTATTAATCGAACAATTATAAACAACAGTTCCAATTTCTAGTCGCACTTTTCAGTTAGTAACAAATTCTTGTTTGTTTTTGCAGTGGCCTGGCCGAAAATTCAACAGTAAACCAAGATTTGGGATTAGAAAAACAAGTAAGTGTCTTACTGTCCTGCAATAAATATTGCGTATATTCAAGAGGGAAAATTTCAATTAACGCCTTTTTTTGTGTGTGTACAGGTCAATCCACACAAGAGGTACCTCCAATGCCCTGCTGCCTTCACAATATACCACTTGAAAAAATTCATCCGACTGAAATACGACATTGGTGCCAAACAAACTGTACGTTTTGAGATTATGCGATGAACTTACGATCATGTTGCTCCTGACTTCTATTAACAGTACTTTTATTGTTTCAGATAACAATATTTTATGAGGGAGAACAACTGTCAGACAACTCTTCTCTAATGGATATAGCTTATCAATTTTTCTATGATGTGGTAGGTTCTTTACTTTATTTTTTTGCACACGATTGAATGGCACAATGGAAAAGTTCTGCTTCTTATATCGGTGCTGTCTATTCTTTCCAGAAATCGCCAATGCGTTTCACTTATCGGGTGACTCCAGGATACGTCGTGAGACCAGCGCCGAGTGAACTCAAGAAGCCGACTCCAGCGCTCTCCAAGCCTCCTACGCTGCTCCCGACTGTTTTGGTCAAGCCCCTGTCTCTGGCCTCTCTGTCGCCCTCGGTAACGCGTCAACTCTCAAGGGGATCGGCGTCGTCATCTGACGAGAGCAGCACTAGCACAACGTCTCGCCGGCAGCAGCGTCAGCGCAGCGCCAAAACAGCAGCGTACACCGCTATTGAAGCCATGGATGAGTCTGATCGCGATGAGGAGCCTCCAGTGAAACGTCGCCGGACGCCTGGAAAATCCCCGCGGTGGGAGTCGGATCGCGACTCACCCGAGCCGTACACAGTGTACCGTAACACGCGACGCACGCCGAAAACCTGCCTAGAGGACTTCGAGGCAAGGTACAATATCAAGCCAGCTGGGAAGCGTGTTTACGCTATTTGTTCGGACGACGAAGTGTCTGATCCCGAAACTAAACGAAACACTCTGGCGAATAGAAATTCTTCTTCCAAGTACTCTAACCTTCTCAGCCTGCTCAAGACAGAAAAAGATGCGAATCGTCCAAGATTCGTATCAAATGGCAAAAAGTCTCGTAAAAAGAAGGCAGATGAAGATGTCTATGAGTTTGATGCTCAAAATGAAGACAATGACAGCAACACCACTCAAGAGTTCGATTTCGTATATGATAACTCAGACTACGAGAGCGCGGAGAGTGATAAGTTACGAAAGGAAACGGAAAGTACTCACGAACGGCCCCACGCAAATGGCTGCGCTGACGACGAGAGTACAGATATGCAGGAAATCGAAGCTGACGAGCATGAGCTAGAACAACAGATCGAAATGGAAGTCGTAACTGACACTGAGGATATTGAACGGCATATTGAAGACTCCATTGAAGAGGTTGAAGTCGATGCTGACGATGACAGCCAAGAACACAACCAGTGTACTGCTGAAGATGATAACGATAACCAGTTGGACGCGGAGACCACATCCTCGTCCTGTCTTGTTATTGCCGAGGATGAAGATGACGATGGTGTGGTGGAGGAAGTCATCGCTGCCGAGGAAGATGGACATGAACTAGTAGTCGTTGAAGATCCTGAAGAGACTGACGTCACTTACACTGTTCAAGTGTATAATGTCGGTACTTCTAATGCAGAGAATAGTGATAAGGTGTCTGAAGAGTCGTCTTGCTCTCCAAAACATTCGGCTTCAAGTACGAGTCCTACCGTTGAGGAGGATGAGCCAGAAATCGTACATGAAAAGGTTATTCGTAAAAAGAGTAAGAAATCAAAACACCATCATCACCACCATCACCATAAGCGAAAGCGCCACCATTCACCTGTCATGCTAGTCTCCAATACAGAGGATGCGCCCATGAAGCTCACACTCAAACTAAGACCAACACCTAGTATAAGTCCTGGAAGCTCCAAGAGTTCGAAAGGTCAAGCAGATTCTTCGAACAAAGACAGGCGGGTTTCAATTTGCTTGTCTCCTAGTAGCGAAATGTCTGGCCGGGAATCGCCTTCTCAGAAGATTTACACGGTCAAAATAACATCTCCCAAACCCACAGCGGAAGTTTCTGAGAAAGCAAGTGCTGACACCTCAAAAGGCACAACTGCTGTACAATCAGCTCCAAAGATAAGAATTCGACAAATCGAGTCCGAAAAAATCGAATCTTCTATAGTTACATCATCAGAACCAAGTATTGATGTACAATCGCCTGAAAAGAAATCCATGGCAGGTGACTCCAACAAGGATGGACCTACTCAATTGCGTCAAGTACGCATCAAAAGCCCTGTATCATGCACTCCCACATCCCCACCTCCATCTCCGTCGCCATCGAAAACATCCTGTGTACCGGACTTGAAGTCTGTCAAGACTCCGTCGTCCCTCACGATCAGCAAAGTCGAGGCCGGCGAAACCCCGTCGAGAATTGAAGAGCCGTCCAACAAACCAGCCCTGGAAATACTTGTACTACCCCCCTCTCCTCCCCCATCAGATAAACAAAGTGACGACTCGGAAGAGTGTTCAACCATTTCTGAACCTATGCCTAAGAAAAAAGAATCAAATCCAGCCCCCGTAAAGAAGTCACCCTCCAAGGACATGCGTTCAAACGCTATTCTGAGCGATGCCCGTCAAAATTCCCTCGACCAAGTGTGTGTGTTGGATTTATCCGACCGAGCAAAGCGTGACTCATTACCTCTTCCTCCCCCTCTTGCTGCCCCTGCTATTTCGCCAATCTCAACGTACATGGTTCCCAGGCCGCCGCCACCGCCAGTTCAGTACATCCTCCACCCTCCTGGAGCACAGCCAGAGGCGTCTCTGAACAGCGCTCAGTTACGGAACCTCCACAATATGATAGACGAGGCCACAATTGCGACAGTCAATCGAATGAACAACATGCTAGCTCAGGGCCAGCCTGTGATTCCAAACCTACCAATCTTTCCCCAAGTTTATCAAAACCAAGCTCTTAATGCCGTGAATAATGCGGTCAACGCTCAGCGGAGACTGCTGCCTGCACCCTCACTAAACAGCATCATCGGCAGCCGCCGAGGCAATGGGTACGGCGTAGGGCCTAGCGGGGCTGGCACCAGCAGACCGAACCAGTCCGTAAGGCACATTCCAAATCCATCCGCCCTTCTGCACAGACAGCAGAGTGGCGGACATGGCAAGTTGACGGAGCAAGAACTAAAAGAACGCCTCCAACAGTTCCAACAGAATCAGCAAAATCGGGCTGCTAAAGCAGCTTTCACGTACTCAAGAGCAAACCATGCCCCTGTTCGAAGCGGGAGTGCAGGACCCAGTGGGTCAGGAAGCAGTCCGAATACTAGCAGTAGTGGTGTTTCCGGTACCATCGGAGGTGGTAGTGTCGGGAACGGCCTAAGCCCCACTTTGTCTAGCACTAGTAACAATAACAATTTAGCTAAGAATGCTATCCGACCTCGTAGTATTGAAAAAGTAGCAGGGCTCCTCAGTGTCCGAGCAGGAGTCTCTATGTAGGAAACTTTGTATATGTTTGGAAGGTGAGAGTACCTCTGAACCGGCAGTTGTTGTTGAATATATTCTGTAAATTTCCTGTACAATATAGTCACATCCTAGCCGAGAAAAAACTGTACTTTTAGAAAAATGTAATTTTGTTCCCATCTCTGACCACAACAAGCTGGCAAATCTTGTAAAAATATTTATCAATTTGTCCAGCCGTTTAGAGTTGTTTGGCGTATGGTTGTTTATGGATTTTTCCGTTAGTCTGTAATGTACTTGTGTCCAAAGATAGCTAGTATAAGTTTACAAAATAAGATGCACTATTCTGTTATTTTTGTTGAGTTGTATGTTCCTGTTACAAAAGTTTCTTTTTTATTTATTTTTTGTTGGAAGTTAGGTGGTGGAGAATCTGAGGACGAAAGGAACGAGGAGTTACCATTGCGCTTAGAGCCTGGAACGAAAGACTGCATAATTTCAAACTCGTGTTCCTTATTGGCAACGTTCCTATGAATTACTGTAGCCCTTTTTGTTTCTTGTGACACTTTCGGGCCTGATGGTAGAAAATAAATCTTCTGCAATTAGGGTCGCACATGCGTGCAATATAAGTGTAATGAGTTATTTGTCCGGGAGATGGGAGTAAAGTTTTATGTAGAGTAAATACATATATATAGTTATATATCAGAGGAAACGTTTCATTTAGTCAGCTTTATTTTGGAGGCTTGAGAAGGAGCCGAGAAAGAAATATTTTGGCCTGCGTCTTTTCGCATTATGCGATACGAGCGGCGTTAATATTTTTCTCGTAGCTCGTCACTAAGTCTTCTCTTTGCAATTTTAATAGACGTAAGTTACACCTCTCTTCCTGGACAAGTCCCCCATTAGCTGCTGTTTGCATTAATTTCAGGGGTGCAGTTTAAAATTGTAATTGAAGAAGTACAAATGCTCGTATTCATGTTGATTGTTATCTTGATTAATCAGTGTTACTGATGATTAGTCAAATTTACAGTTCTTTATTGTGATACATAGTCGTAGAGCACATTTACGTCTCGAAGTTGTGCTTTAGTAGATACTGTATAAAGAACATTCAGAGAAATCTATTCCAACTATGTTATTCCCTTCTTCTCGTGGATTTGCAAACACGCATACTAACTGTAAAATAAATCATCAATAAAGATGCTTATCAAACAATTACCTCTTACTCCGTTTTATTGCACACTGCCTAAGTCCTGCACAGAAGTATTCATTGTTTAAAACTCTTAATTATTTTAAATACATTTCACTCGCTGTTTAAAGTAAAAGAATATTACTGAGTTAATACAAACAATTCAAACTACCATAAAACAATTGATCCTGTAAAGGTGTCAAATGAAGACATGCAGCGATAAACGGAACGGAAGGGACCACGAGTTTCGTCTCGATGTGAAAACGCTTGACTAGCGTAACGTCTAAAATTCACGAGTCCCTCCCTATAAAGTCAGATCCTAGCGTCGAAGAGTAGGTGCTTATCGTTTCTTTTCGGGGCTTCTGTTCAGAGCCGCCAGATCCAGCGTAGCGCATTATAGAAACTTTGGGACAGTGTGAATAAAAAAGCGAACGAAAAGCCTTCCCCCTCAGCCTCAGCAAGACAGATCTTTATCAACGTCAATTTGCTTATGAAAACTGGAACTGGAAACGTCAATCGGCAATCTTAATTAAAAGTGGATATATAAACCGGCAATATTTATCAAAACGGGAAACGTTTACCGTCGGGTAGAGATAGCCACTGGGGATTGTGTATAACTGAAATATATTTAGAAGTATTCTATCATTTGCAAAGTTTCACGATTTACAACCGATTTTTTAAGGCAACACACTCTCATTTAAATGTACGAATCCCCACGCATTGGAAAAATCATTCTTATTAATTTCGGTTATGTGAAACGAACGTGAAATGTTCAAAGTGTCAGTTACAAATGTATCATCTGCTAAAAACAGTCCCTAGGTAGCACACAGGAATTTCACAGATTTGAGGGAACCTCGTCAGTGCTCAAATGTAAAGTTACTTGTTTGCTGTGATTTCGTCTTTATGCGATGAAAATCTTACCTTCCGCTACACTTCTGCAGCGAACTACGCGAGGACAGATGTGAGCACGTTGTTACAGAAAGCACACGCAATGACTCAAACGTCCCCAATCCTGTACGAGGTGGATGTCGTGGTCGTCATACACCAGACGGGAAAACGTGTACTAATAATCAAAAGAGTAACTTTCCCGCCTGGTTCCACAGCCACAAAAAGGGAAATCTGAGATTCAAGATACACGTTGCATTAGAATGGAGTATTCGAGTACTAGTCGTGCTCGTTTAGGTGGTCAACTTTCTCTATTGAACACTGGTAAAGTGTGCAACTATTGCGTTCAACACTTGAAGGTTTACAACCAGCACTTGAGTGTTGTAGGGTTTAAGACTTTACACTGTGAAAAATTGTCGTACCGGGTACAGGAAAATTTTCCATGGAAAAAGTCGTACAAGTACAATCTAAAATTGTACAATGTACTAGCCCTATGTATCGACTTAGAATCGAATATCGAGCGACAGTGGGAGGTTGTACATGTACGACTCGTGTTGTAACTGGCAAATTACAAAATATATCGTACATGTACAAATATATTTCTCACAGTGTATTTACGAGTGTTACTACGACACTTGGAGGTGAGGTGTGTCCATTGCAAAGTGTATTATAGCCAAGTTGCACCTCCTCTTTCCACCTCGTTGTCAGTCCCGGGCGCATTGCGTTGAAACGCGCCGCCCACTCTGTGCCCAACCACAGGGGCCACCGCACCACCCGCTCTCCCCCGGCCCCCGGCCTTTCCATCTTTCTCGCTCGCGTTGGGCCGTGAGCGCGAGGTTCTCCGTTCTCCTCTCCCCTCCCCGTGCTCCCCCCTGCGGTTCTCCGCTCCCCACCCCGCACCCCCTCCCCCCCGCCGTCGCCGCGCAGCGCCTGCCTAGGCCCGACACACCCGATGGGGCCCGCAGTGGGTTCCCGAGGGACCTCTCACCACCCCCGCCTCATCCCGCGCCACAGCGCCTCGGGCCTCCTCCCTCCTAGCCAGCCCCCTCTACGCCTCCATCTTACGTACACTGTTCGGAATCGTCAGCGCGCATCGATCACCTCTGGCCTCCCCCGGGTGGGTCGCTGGCTTCTCTCGCTGTAAGGCACAGGCAGATGCGGCCGGCGCCATCAGCTTGACGACTAATCTACAAGCTGCTTGATTTCGACTGTTAGAGAGGGAGACGAAACGTCCTTAGCAGATCAGGTTCGCCCTTTCGCCTCGAGAGAACTTTAAAATGAGGTTACAAAAGTAATGCCCAGGACCTTTGCATGGATTATCAGCCAGAAATAATGGGGCCAGGGTAGAGTTCAGCGGGTCGTTCACATACTGGGGTTTTGTACAGCTAATTACATACCGCCAGGTAAATTCTGGGGGCTCACTGACTGGGGAGGGGGGAGGGGGTGCAATCGCCTTTCCCCCGTCCAGTAAACTAAACCACACCACACATGTGCGTTTTTGAAAGATTTCGTGCAGAGAGCTCTTCACTGTAAAGCTACGGTCCAGTCATGTGGGCACACTGCAAAAAATTATGACAGGAAAACTACAGACCGTCCTGCTAATTATTTTCCAGGAACTTCTGTTATTCGAATAACAGCATCGATGTAGTTTT